CTTTGTGGCCCCGTTGCCACCCTTCGTGGCCCCGTCGCTGCCCCTCGTGGCCCCGTTGCAGCCCTTCGTGGCCCCCTCGCTGCCCTTCGTGGCCCTGGTGCGCCCGTTCGTGGCCCCGTCGCTGCCCTTCGCGGTCCCGTTGCAGCCTTTCGCGGCCCCCTCGCTGCCCTTCGTGGCCCCGTTGCAGCCCTTCGTGGCCCTCTCGCTGCCCTTCGTGGCCCCGTTGCATCCCTTCGTGGCCCCCTCGCTGCCGTTCGTGGCCCCGTCTCACCCGTTCGTGGCCCCGTCGCTGCCCTTCGTGGCCCCGTTGCAGCCCTTCGCGGCCCCCTCGCTGCCCTTCGTGGCCCCGTTGCAGCCCCTCGTGGCCCTGTCGCTGCCCTTCGTGGCCCCGTTGCAGCCCTTTCGGCCCCCTCGCTGCCCGTCGTGGCCCCGTTGCGGCGCTTCGTGGCCCCATCGCTGCCCTTCGTGGCCCCAGATATGTATGCCCTTCGTGGCATCGTCTCGTTCGCGCCCGTCGTGGCCCCATATGCATGCCCATCATGGCCCCGCTGTCGCCCTTCGTAGCCCCCTCGTTGACCTTCGTGGCCCCGTTGCTGCCCTCAGTGGCCCCGTGATTGCCCTCCGCGGCCCAATATACGTATGCCCTTCGTGGCCCCCGCTCATTCGCGCCCGTCGTGGCCCCATGTGCATGCCCTTCGTGGCCCGCTGTCGCCGTTTGTGGCCCCCTCGCTGTCCTACGTGGCCCAGTTACTACCCTCAATGGCCCCGTCGTTGCCTTCTGTGGGCCCGTATTAGCTGCCCTTCGTGGCCCCCGCTCGTTCGCTTTCTTCGTAGCCCCATACGCATTCCCTTCGTGTCCCCGCTGTCGCCCTTCGTGGCCTACTTCGTGCTTTTCGTTGCCGTGCTGTCGTTCTCTCTCTCGCTCTCGCTTTCGCTCGTCGTCGTCGTCGTCGTCGCCGCCGTCGTCGTCGTCGTCGACGTCGTTTGTCGTCGTCGCCGTCGTCGTCGTCGTCGCCGTCGTCGTCGTCGGTTCCCTGTCCGTCCATCTTGGGGTCGGGTTGCCGCCGATCAGCGCTGCCGCTGGCCGGGCTGGCGGTCTGCGGCCGCCCCGCCGCTTGCCGGGGCCCGGCCGCAGGGAAGAAAGGTATACCCCCCAAGAGGGGTACGATCGAAGACGAAGTGGGTGGGTATCGAGGGTTTGGGAAATACGCGTCAACGGGCACTCGAGCAGATAAGAGCGACCAATTTTAAACTGAGTGTCGTTGTTGTTGTTGTTGTTGTTGTTGTTGTTGTTGTTGTCGTCGTCGTTGCTGTTGCTGTTGCTGTTGCTGTTGCTGTTGCTGTTGCTGTTGCTGTTGCTGTTGCTGTTGTTGCTGTTGTTGTTGTTGTTGTTGTTGTTGTTGTTGTTGTTGTTGTTTTTTGTTATTGTTGTTGTTGTGGAACTCTCAATGCAGAAGTGACTAATTATTGTTGATCCCCTCCGTTGGCATACATGTTTTTCAATTGAAGTGCCCTTCGCGGGGGTCGCAACTTGCTTTGTATCAGGGAAAGTCTTCCTCCTCAAACTACGTTGTCGGGCCCCGAACTACAACAACAACGCCTCTCGCCTGATACTTCGTCACAATAAATTCCCACATCGCACTGTCGCACGACACTTCCGCACCAATTATTCAAGAATCGCGCTGTCGCGTGGGATTTCTTTGCAATTTATTCGAACGCCGCGCCCTCGACATTCAGGAGTCATGCTCTCGCTGTGGATTTTGTTCACGATTGATTTGGGAATCGAGCTGTCGCTCGAGACCTCCTCGCGATTCATGCAGGACGTACGCTTCAGCAACCCGCCTGCTCGACCTGGTCGCCTGGGCCCTCCTTCCCGACCCGCCTTGTAGGGTCTACCCGCCCGATCGTGTTTTCTGCTCATAGCCCCTCTCCTCCTAACCTCTCTTGTGCTCCATCCTCCTCCCTCCCCCTTGTCCCTTCCTTTCATCCGTCCTCTCTTCCCCTGCCTCAGGGACGGCGCGAAGTACACGTTGCAGGTAAGAAAACTATACCCTCAAGGGGGTACGGCCGAAGACGAAGAGGGCGGGTATCGAGGGTTCGGGATATACACGTTGAATGAGTTGTCGTTTATTGCTGTTGTTGTTATTGTTGTTGTTGTTGTGATTGTTGTTGTTGTTGTTGTTGTTCTGGTTGTTGTTGCTGTTGTTATTATTATTGTTGTTGTTGTTGTTTTTGTTGTTTGTTGTTGTTGTTCATGGTGACGATGCCTGTGATGGTGATGGTGGTAGCGATGGTGATGGTGATGGTGATGATGATGATGATGATTGCGACGACGCCGATGATGATTACGCCTGCGACTGATGATGATGCTGACGGTTCTGACGATGCTGCTGCTGCTGGCGATGCTGATTGGAGTGAGATGATGATGCTTCTGCTCATCTTATGATGATGCTGCTCACGACAACGACGACGACGACGACGACGACGACGACGACGATGATGATGATGATGATGATGATGATGATGATGATGATGATCATGATGTTGATGATGCTGATAAGACGGATGGTGACGACCTCGGCAGACGTTGTTGCTGCTGCTGATGATGATGCTGATGGTGCTGATGCGGATGCTGCTTCTGCTGATGTGGCGAGAAGGATGACGACACCGACGACGACGGTGATGATGATGTTGGTGATGCTGATGATGATGATCATGATTATCATGATGCAGCGGCTGCTGCTTCTGATGATGATGCTTATGAACATGATGAGGACCATGGTGGATGGTGATATAGCTGTGGATGCTGTGGATTGTGATGATGATGATGTTGGTGGATGCGGTGGTTATGATGATTATGAATTTTATGACATGCGGACTGAAGAGGATGATGCTGATGATGATGCTGATGATGATGATGCTGATGCTGATGATGATGTAGTTGTGTATTGTGATGATGATAGTGGATGTGGCGGTGATGATGATGGTGATTCTGTGGATGTGGATCATGGGGCATGATGCTGATGACGAGGACGATGACGATGATGATGCTGGGGATGGAGGTGATGCTACTGACGATGATGATGACGCTGATGATGATGATGATGTTGATGATGCTGATGACGATTTTGATGATGATGCTGATAAGGATGCTGACGGTGATGATGATGAGGCTGTTGCTACCGATTTCGCGGACGATGATTGTGATAGAGAGGATGATGATAACGATGACGATGACGATGACGATGGCGATACTAACGATACTGATGATGATGATGATGATGATGCTGATGCCGATGCTGATGCTGATGATGATGATGATGATGATGATGATGATGATGTTAATAATAATAATGATAGTGATAATGATGATGCTAATGATGATCATGATCATGATCATGATCATGATCATGATCATGACTATGATGATGATGATGATGCTGATGATGATGATGATGATGATGATGATGATGATGATGCTGATGGTGATGATGATGATGGTGATTATGCTTCTGATGATGATGATGATGATGCTGCCGACGATAGCCGTCATTGTTACGACGATCATGCTGACGACAACGATGCTGCTGATGATGATGATAAGGCTGAATGGGAGGAGACATCAGAGGACAGGAGGACTGAGAAGAACGACGATGATGAAGACGATGGCAATGATGATGCTGATGATGATGACGACGATGACCATGGTGATGATGATGATGATGATGATGATGATGATGATGATGATGATGTAATACTGCTACTGATGGTGATTCTGATAATGACGATGATGATGCTGATGATGATGACAATTATGATGATACTGCTGCTGCTGCTGAAGACGATGATGATGCTGATGCTGATGCTGATGCTGATGATGATGATGATGATGATGCTGACGAGGACGATGACGATGATGATGATGATGATGATGATGATCATGATGATGATGATGATGATGATGATGATGATGATGATGATGATGACGAATAACAGGAAGGAGGCAGAGGAAAATAGGAGAAATGAGGTGGACGATGATCATGCTGATGATAATGATAATGATGATGATGATGATGATGATGATGATGATGATGATGATGATGATGATGATGATGATGATGATGATGATGATGATGATGATGAGGAGGAGGAGGAGGAGGAGGAGGAGGAGGAGGAGGAGGAGGACCAGTGTAAACCTGAGACGTAGCAACGATGTTGCAATACACCCCCCTCCAAGTGCCGTCTTCAGAGGTCGCTGCAATTATTTATGCTCATTCTGGGAAGTGTCCCATTGGAAGACGTCCCACTGGAAGATAACCGTCTTAGAATCCCCGATCGCTCCAAAGCACAATCCCTGGGTCTTCAACACCGCGAACGAGTGTGACTGTTGCGTGTTGACACTCCCAAATTGCGCCAAAACGGCGTTCCTGGGACTTCAACCATGCGAATCCGTGAAACTGTTGATAAGGCGAGAACCATATTTTGAAAAGGGACCGCCCTCCATCCGTGAGACTGTTGCAAACTCTGAATGTGCGCCGCGCTCAGGCGAAATCCACATTTTGAAGACGGCCCGCCCTCCATCAGGTAAGCTGTGGCGAACTTTTCAGACGAACGTGCGTGGGGCCAATGCCAAAGCTACATTTTTGAAATAGCCCGCCCTCAATCCTTGAGACTGATTCAAATTCAAGCTTCAGGAACATACATTGAGAGGAAGTCTCAGGCGAAGTGCCCGGCCCGCGCTACTGACAAGTGTCGGTGTGCGACAGGGAGGAGCTATTGATCAGGAAAAGGACTGGAGCAGGATGAGGAGGATGAGGAGGAGGAGGATGACGAGGAGGAGGAGGAGGAGCAGGGTGAACTGGAAGAGAAGGAGAAGTGGAGGAATTGGGGAGGGGTAAGAATAGTCAAGACATGCGGAGCAGTCGGAGGGCGAAGTGGAGAAGGGGGCGAATGATGCGATCCGTTCGCCGGTCATGCCCTCGACCCCTCCCTCCCTAGAGGAGTCTCGAACACTAGACGACCTGAACTGGAACGGATTCGTGCCTCCGGACACGGGGACGAAACCTCCCCTATATCGCTGGCTCCCTGTCTTCTCTCCTCTCCTGCGGCCCTGTCGCGCTTCTCTTTCTGTAACTTCTCGTACTCTTCTCATGCCACTCCGCAGCGTCCCATCCGACCCCGTCCCACTCCATCATGTTCCATCAAGTCCCACCCCATATTGCCCGTCCACCCCGCCATGTCCAATCCCATCCCATCCATCATGTCCCATCCTCGTGGAGGCGCTTCCTCCTTCTGCTCCTCTCTCCTCCTTGGCCCCCTCCTTACAGTCGGGGCCCTGAAGAAGGAACCCTTTTTGTTGGGGAGGGGCTCCGCGTTCCTTAAGTGTTTCGCAGCTTGCCTCAGGGTTTCCTTATGTTTTCGATAGGAAATAGAAGGTTAGCTTATGGAAAAAGGGGCCTCGTTCCTTAATTTAGGGTTCCTTAGGTCAACGCCCCCACTGTACCCCCCTCTTTCTCCTCCCCCTCCCCCTCCCCTTCTCCCCTCCCTCCTCCCTCACGACCTCCAGGCGGTCCCCCTGCTCTCCTCCCCGGTCCTCCGTCTCCTCCAGCGTCTCCTCCTGCGTCTCCTCCTCCTCCTCCTCCTCCTGCGTCCTCTCCTCCTCCTCCTCCGCCTCCTCCTCCTCCTCCTTCTCCTCCTCCTCCTTCTCCTTCTCCGTCTCCTCCTCCTCCTCCTCCTCCTCCGTCTCCGTAGCCATTTGGCTCAAGGTTTTGAGTTCCCCTGTGGAACAAGTGGATACCGCTAGTCCGCGGCTAGACTTCCGAGCTTTCAACGTACCGCTGCGTGAGCCGCCAGACGGCGCAGCACTCTCTTTCCCGCTCTGTTGCCTCTGCCCCAAGGCTCAGGGGCTGGTCGATGGCGCCCTCGGGTCACCAGCAACACCGCATCCAGAATGCGCATGCGTGGCTCTGCAGGTGGTGCACGAACGAGAAGACGGGCGAGAGATGGTGGAACAAGGCGGATTGCACGTTCTGAAAGGCGTGCAAGGTCGCCAAGGGCGCAGCCTACTTCGGCCCGCGCCCAGCAGGTGGCAATGGGGCGAACGCTGCGCAGGCACCACGGCCTCTCGCGGCCGAGCGCCGTGCTGCTGCCGAGGGAGAGCGTCTCAAGAAGGAGGCCGCCGCCAAGGACCGCGAGATCCAGGAGCTCAAGAAGCAGCTCGTGGCGTCGCGGCAGTCGGGCGGTGGGGCCTCAGCGATGCAGGTCGACAGCCCTGGCGCCGACAAGCCTGCGGGCCCCGAGGCGGACAAGGCTGTGCTCGAGCGTCTCACCGCCGCCATCGCCGCCATTGGGGACGCCCCCGACGAGCTCTTGGCTTCGCACAAGGCCGCGATGGTCGCAGAGCAGGAGCGGCTCAGGGCTAAGATCTTGGCCGATAAGCCGATCGGAGCCCGTCTTCACCTCCTCACCAATCGCTGCACGGCGCTCGAGAAGAAGAAGGAGCGCCAGCAGGCCGCCCTGGACAAGCTGCACGCGCAGATCCAGGAGATCCAGCTGGCCGTCGCCGATGCAGAGAAGGCGCTGCTGGAGACGTCCAAGGAGCTCGTGGCCGCCGAGGCGGACAGGCGCAGCGCCGCGGCGCTGGCGCCGCGCCCTGAGGCGGGCGTCTTCTCTCTCAAGGCGACGGTCCCCGCCCTGGACCTGTCGGTCTCCGACGTGGGCAAGATGCTGGAGGCGGTCGGTGCGGACGCGTCTCTGGCCGAGTCTATCCAGGCTAACTTCGCGAAGCTTCGCGGGCTTGATGCTGCCGCAGCGGAGCGAGGGCGCGCGCAGGAGAGAGCTGCCGCGGCTGAGCCGCCCACCAGCGCCGCGGCCACCAGTGCTGGCAGTGCGTGTGCAGGAGCTGCCGACCTTGCCGAGCATCTTCCTGTCCCTGCCGACGACGGCGACCTGGACGAGCTGCAAGCCTTCTACCGTGTGGTCTTCGACGCCGAGCCCCCTGGCAGCGAGGGGGAGCCACGAGGGCACATCAAGCGGTTTGGCGAGCAGCTCAGCAGGGTGTCGAAGAGGCCCCGCGTCGACACGAAGTAAGCTGTGGGTGGGCGCCGCGCTCCTGCTGCAGCTCTTCTGCCCCGCTGAGGCGATGCCGAGGTGTCATGGTGGGCGTGTGCTGCCAGTCTACATGCTCCCGCAGGCGGTCGCTACCGCCGCGGGAGAAAGGGCGGGCCCTGGGGCAGGGGGCGCGGCCCTTGCTGCCCCATGTCCTGCGTCCTCGGCGTCTTCGGGGCCTGGCGGCGCGGCTATGGCTGGGGCTTCCTGTGGGGCCGCACTCACCCGTGACGCTGAGGGCGCCAGCAGCCTGGGGCGCCTCCAGCGAGCGGGCAGAGAGGTCAGGAAGGCTCCAGCACATCTTCGTGGCGGCCGTGGAAGGGGTTGGTCTGCTCCAGCGGGCGGCCGCCGCTGCCGCTGGAGATGGGGCGGCCCCGGGGGCAGGGGGCGCGGCCCCACCATGGGTAGTGGCAGCGGGAGATGGGCACGCGCCCAAGTTCTACCTGCCAGACTACATGTCCCCGAGGTCGGGTGCCGTGCTGCTCGAGTCGGTGGCAGCCCCCCCGTCCAGACCCTCGGCCGCATGCAGCCAGCGAGGGCTATCATGCACAGTGTCAGGACGCAGTGATGTTTCAGTCGGTTCGGGCAAGCCTGGCCCGATCCGCGGTGTGATTACAGCTGGCGCATCATCCCACGGCCCGCTGTTAGATATGCTGAGCGTCCATGGAATTGATAATTACTTGGTTCTTGTGCAAGAGCACCACGCGAGAGACGACCGTTTCGCTGAGTTGCATTGCAGTCCAAGGAGGCCGCCAAAGGGTTTCGCGGTGTGTGGGCAGAGGCGATTGACACAGGCAGAGGAGGTTCATGCGGCGGCGTCGCCGTGATCGCGCCTGTCCACGTTCTCGTCTCAGCCCCTCCCCAGCTCACCGACCACGTGCTGATCCCAGGGCGTCTGGTGGCTGCTCATGCTCGCTGGGGCCGTGCAGGCGGCATCGTCCTGCTCTCCGTGTACCTAGTGGTAGGAGAGGGTCTCGGGGCCCAGAACCTGGAAATTGTGCAGACGGCCATCGGCTACGCCAGCCAGCTGTCGCGCCAGGGTATAGCGTGGGTCATAGGCGGGGACTGGAACATGGAGGGCGACCTGTTGGGCGACTGGTTCCACGCTGCAGGAGCCATCCGTGTGGCGCCGCAGGTGCCGACGTGTGCGCAGTCGCTCCCTGGCACGGTGCGCGACTTCTTCTTCGTATCGCTGTCCCTGGCCCATGCAGTGGGTGAGCTGGCCGTCGAGGAAGGGGCCGATCTTTTCCCGCACAAGCCTGTTCTCCTTGAGCTAGGCCTGGTGGAGAGAAGTCTGTGTCGCCGCGTTCCTGATGAGCCGCAGAAGTTTCACGTCGAGCCGAAGATTGGGTGTGCGAGGTTCCCTCCCGTCGACGAGAGGGCCCAGATCCAGAGTTTCATAAGCCGCGCTGTTTCGGAAGATGATTTGGCTTCTTGCTGGGATGCTTGGGCTGAACCCCAGGTCCATGCTCGCCGTCTCTGACCAGTGCTTGCAAACTGTTGCTAGTCTTTTCAAGGCCTGCGAGAGGCTTCTTGCGTGGCCCGGGTCTCGGATTCAAGCCCGCTTGGTCCGTTTGCCCAGACCCGCGGGGGGGCTTCGGTTGATTGCGCTTTTGAACTCCATGCTCCGCCTCTGGGGGCGGGTGAGAAAACCTGTCTCCCAGGCCTGGGGGGAGGCGAACCGTGACCCTTCCTTTTGGGGCCCAGGGCCAGGGGCTAGCGGCTAGTGCGTCCGACGCCGCCTTTGACCATAATATGGAGGCGGAGGCTGCAACGGCGGTTGGGGAGTACTCTGTGAGCGTGTTCTTGGACATGTTTAAATGTTATGAGTGTGTAATCGTGGAGCGACTGTTTGCCGAAGCCAGGCAGGTTGGATACCCGCCTCGGATGATGTGGATGGTCCTTGCATCCTATCGGTGCCCTAGGGTGATTCAGGCGTTCGGTTCGGTGTCGCGGCAGGTCGTGCCCAATCAAGGCATCCTTGCTGGATGTAGCCACGCCAACACTATGATGCATGTGCTCCTCCACCGCGTGATCGTTAAGATGAGGACCCTATACCCTACGGTCTGGCCCAGGGTCCTCATGGGCGATTCCATCTTTCAGTGGGTTGGTAAGCTGTCTAAGTTCAGTGACATTTCACCCGCCGCGGTTAGATGGTATTGCAGCCAGGTCCTCAAGCTAGGGTTAATCCTCCAAGCGGCCAAGAGTGGGTATGTGGCTACGGCAGTGAGAGTGTCGTCGAACTTGTCGTCGTCTGCTCGTCTGGTGAAGCTCCGTAGCCGCACCCATATGCGAAACCTTGGTCATCCCCCCCCCCGTTTTTTTCTGGAAGGCCTGTGAGGGCCCAAGAACAGCTACGTCTTAAGAAGTTGCTGCGGCGTCGGGACAAGTTGGCCTCCCTCCGTCGTGCTGCGTCCAGCAAGGTGAGTCTGTTGTGGTGCACTGGGCTCATGCCCGCTGGGTCGCACGGGGCTGGGGTCTCTGGGCTCGCGGATCCGACCCTCGGGACCCTTCGTGCCATGGCGGGGGCCTTAGTGGGCGCGAAGCTGGTCCAACGCTATGCAGCTGCAATTGGGGACTCGAGGTTCTCGCTTGGCCGGCGTCAAAAAGCGTGGGTGGCTGTCGGGGGTCGTATCTTCGAGAGGCCGACGTGGAAGCCATGCCGCGGCCCAATTAGTGCAGTGCTTCTCAGTCTACACCGTGTCGGCTGGTCGATGTCTTCTGCGCATGTGCTGGTGGACGACCAAGGTTTTCAGATTGATTTGTTGCGAACCGCGCCGCTTGATGTGAAGGCGCAGCTGCGGTCGGGGATCCAGAGGTGGCAAGCTAGGACGATTTTGTCCCACCTCCCGCAGGCTGGGTCCGAGCGTCTGTGGCTCCGAGGAGTGCGAATCGCAGTCTTCAAGATTCGTGACAATGCCCGTCGTGCAGCTGTCCGCTGCTTGATAG